TCAGAGAGGTGGGGTAGGGAGCAGATGCCAAAAAGGAGAACTGTGGCAGTTGACTCAAGGCAAACCAGTATTTTCACTAAAAAATTAAAACTACTTTAGGCCAGTGTAGTTGATCTTCCCACATAGTGAAGAATACAAAATAACTTGACTATCAAGATTTTAACATATCAAAAAGGGCATGTGCAATTTAAAAATCATCATCCTTGAGAGTGTTGGTTAGTAATTACCTGCTTCAGTCACTGATTTCAGTATAGAAAATAGCTGCATTGGTCCACAAAGAAAAGGAAAAAATAAATGCACAGAGAATATTTTAGGAACAACTTAAATGCCACAAAAATTGTGCAAGCTTTTGATTTCTCTAAAACTCTTAATCTGGCTAGGCAATACAATAATTAGGAGATGGAGGATGATCAATTTATTTCTGAATCTACTCTAAGTGTGACAACCAATGCTTAATGTCCACTCTGTCTTTATTCTGGGTGTTTGCATTAATTTTGCTCCTAAGGAATGGAAAACATATATACTGTAGTAGATAGGTGAATTTATGAGAATGTTGTGAGTCAAGCTGGATTGTCATTTAAAGCCTTTACCTGCCTTGAGAATATATAGTGCATAGTTACTTTACGCCCAGAGATTAGACAACGTACTTTACGAGCTACACAACCCAAAATCTCCCAGCCAGAACTGGCCATGCTGGCTAGGGACTTCCAGGAGCTGTTGTAGAGGAAAAGTAACCATTCTGCTTCTGTTTCTAACTTTTTGCTGTAATACAGGAGAAGCCAAGAAGAATATACATGGCAGCTTTCTTTTAGGAGCCTGCATGAGTGGGTGACTGAAAGAGCAAAGGAGCAATTCTAAAAATCTACACTGCATATCTGGTGTGCTGCATTTGCCTGATGAGGTCGCAGATTATACAGATCTGGTCTTATACAGTTTATCTGACGGCTAATTTGATGGCTCATCCTTCACAGTTCCACAGCTTTTGCATAGTTTCATTTACGGCATTCATCTTGCTGGAAATTTCTCATATGACAGCTGTCAACATTCAGTATGCTTTGCAGCCAACCATACAAATCGCCTGTAACCACCTGAAAATCACCACTTGCGTCTTTTTGAGTTTCTTCTCAGTCACAGAGCTCCTTCAACACAAAACTGAACATTGTCGGGTTGGAGATGATCAGATTGCAGCCCATTTATAAAATATATGACTAAGATATTTAGCTGATGATGCTGTTTTAACACTGAAAGGTTTCCTAGCATTCGTTAGTAACACATTTTTGTAAGAAAACAACATATTGGCTATAGTTTTCCTCCAGTCAGCACTTTGAATCATCACTGTTTACTGGAAGAAGATTTCTGCAGTCTGCAATCATGATGAGAATTAGATAAATTCTGTTTCTCCGACCTTTTGCTATATATTGTGAAGGGAGCCAGATACTGCTTCATTTCCATAAAAATTGATAAAGAATGTTGCAAGTTAAGATTCTATACATGTACTATTGGAGAGGAATTTAGGGCAATGTTATATGAATTTCACAATGACTCTAATATTTCACTAATTACATAAACCCTATTTTCTAGCATCTAGGTCTCATGTATGTTCGATAATCATATTTTATTTTAGGTTATTATTCCATTTTGCAATTAGGGAACAGAATAATTGCTTCTCCAAATATATCTGCCCAATGGTTGAACTAGCATATTTCACAGCCAAGTCATGGCTAAATGGACCATACTGATTCATCCAGATAAAAGCTGACATCTAAAAATATTGTGTGGATGCTCAGTGATCATGCCTGAAATAACAGACCTGAATCCCCTCTCTTGTGTTCTGAACTTAGGGCTGTATCAACGCCAGGTGTTTCCTGTATTCTGATAGCACGCTTGAGGCTTAGGGATCCTTTAATGCAGTGGTCCCCAACCTTGGGCCTCCAGATGTTCTCGGACTTCAACTCCCAGAAATCCTGGCCAGCAGAGGTGATGGTGAAGGCTTCTGGGAGTTGTAGTCCAAGAACACCTGGAGGCCCAAGGTTGGGGACCACTGCTTTAATGCATGAACCCCTCAGCTGTCCTCTTGGCTTCATGGTGGGTGGTCCTATCAGAAAGCGAAAGCACCATCATAAAGCTTTAGCCCTTGCTTTTCCAATGAAGTAACTATATATTTATGAAGCAGCTTTGTTTCTGTGTCTGCAGAAATAACTGAGGTGGGACGAAAGAATAAAACTTTGCTATTTTAACCTAACATCTCAGTAGCTTTCAAAATCCACTTGTGTCATTTTAGTCTAGACACAATCAAAGCAACCTTCCCTAGTTTGGTGCCCTCTGGTTGCTTTTGACAGACATTGGAAAAGTTATTTTTGGGGTTTACAACTACCAGAATCCCCCTGTATTCTGGGAATTTTAGTCCAAAAGTTGGCTTTCCCTAGTTCTGGACCACAGCTACCTTTAACCCCTGGAAGCATAGCAAATAGTGAGATGTTAAGGGAAGTCTGCCTCTCTCCTGTATACTAAGACACACCTGACTCTGTAAGTAAAAGTTAAATTCATGATCTGAGAAAAAAACAAAAAGGTGATTTGATTTTCTGGGAAAGGCACAATGTAGACACAGAGATCACACCATATCTAAAAAAACCACTAGTGCAATTTACAGACTTTAGTGATGCTGACCCTGGTGACTTCTCGGAGTTGGCTCTAATACTAGGCAGAGTGAAACAGCTGCCTTGGGCAGCAAATTTTGGGTCTACTGATATGCTGGTTCTTGAAATGATTGTTATTGCATCTTTACTGCCATCTTATTGAAGACTAACAATTTCCTCTATTCTCTTTTGCAGATGGGAGATGTGTCACTTGGATTATTAGCCTTAGGTACCAAAAACAACTTGGGGTTGGGTTCTAAGCAGTGACTTGAAGATGCAAATTTTCTAACAAACAGGTCAGAGAGATCTGAACATGCTTTGTGACGACAGTAAAGTGGACATTTGAACAGGAGTGCTAAACACAGAAAAAATTTGCACCAGGATTTGACTCTAGCCTTGTCTAATTACATTCTAGCAGGTACAAGTTTGTTGTTCCTTCTGTGTTGAACTGTCCCTGACCTGTTAGTTTTTAGGAGAATGTCACATTTTGATCAGATCTTGCATGTCCTTTCTTGTATTCTTAAAGATGCACAGGCACTTATTTTCAAAACTCAGACTTCTTTTACTATGTTATTTTCAGACCATCAGAATGGACATGTTCTACTTCCCAAGCCTCACACATCTCATTCAGCCATCTGAGCCTGAAACAATTTCCATTTTTTGTTGCAGCTTAAGAGGAAAATTGCTTCATCACCACACAACTCCACCATCTACATATCTAGCAGGGTTCTGTATGCCCTTGGAAAATGCCTCTCTGTGGTATTGCACAGCAGCCATATGTCAGAGCACAAATGACTCCTTTGGGATCCATGTCTGTTTCTTGCATAGGCTGCATGGACACAAAAGGAGGTTGTGGAAGAAAGCATATCTCAATTATGTGTTTGTAAGTACTCTGGAAAAAAATGTTCAGTATACACCCCAGAGAGCTCCAATATGGTCTGGTAATGGTTCCTGCTGAAGGATACAAACACAATACTATAGATTATGTGATTTTAGTAGATTTATTTTTCTCCTGTAGGGCTGGGAACCCATTAAAAAGACCAATATTTACACTCCATTTTCTATATGCGGGCAAACTGAGATGTGTATACATATACATATACTGTATATTATCTCATGCAGTAGCCTAGTTTTGACTGTTTAATGTGTTCAGTAAGGTGTGAACATATGACCATACCAAGCCTTTTCCTATGATTCAGTTATTAGCTTTTTCCTGCAGAAGTGGTAACCTACTTACGCATGTATTTTCTTCCATGGCTGGGCCCTGATGAACTTTTAGATTGCTATTGAGCAATAAAGCCACCTTTCTGCTTCTACAACTGTTGTTGACCCGTGACTATGGGTGGAGAAGGACTGCAGGAGTGGGATTTTCACAAACACACACATCCTTTGTCCATCATACAAGCCTATTCAGACCAGAGGGAAGTGAAACCAAAGGGGAGGATACATCAGGGGTCTCCTACCAACTCACCTCAGACTGAAGAAGCTACTTGGATGAGTAGTGAACAGTGTCAACCTAATAAGAAATAAGTCCAGTTGCCATGACTCCACTTCCAGATAACCTCAACTGGATGACGGAGAACCTTCACAGATATTCTTCTTCTACCTTAACTCCCTGCCAGGCAGACTCAAGAAAGTAAATTACATAAATAAATGCAATTGCTGGGGGGAACACCATATTTATTGTTTAATTTCTATAATTTCTGTGATTTTGTTTTTATAACAGTGGATTCCAGGTATTCTGCACATTAACTTAGCTCAGCAAGGAGGGGAATCACCTGCTCCTCAGGCTCACAATGTCATGGTCCACTAGCTGTCAGTTATTGCAGGTCAGCAAGAAGGTGACTTGAAGAAGAAAAATCACAATGAAACGGAGAACGGTTTTCCTAGTTATCTGCTACACTCACCTAGATTTGCCCCACTGCAGAGCTCGGAAAGATTACTTTTTTGGACTACCAGTCCCAGAATCCCCAGCCAGAATGGCCAGTAATTTTTCAAGCTCTGCCGCACGGACATCAGTGCGACTTCCTTCAAAGGTGGTACTCAGGGATTTTTCTGGGCTCGGCGTGCGTGGATAGTGGCATGCTGGTAGTATAAGGCGAGCGCACAACACAGACCCTTGCAACACCGCGCACATTACAATAACAAAGACATTAACGATGCGGAAGCGGCACGGGCTCTCTTCCTCCCACCCACCCTTCTATTGGCAGAAGTGACTCGTCCGCTCCCCATAGACTCCCTTTGAAGGCAAACCATTATTACCACACCTTCGCTCAGCGACCGCGGTCGGCTGAAGTACAAGCGGCTCCGCCTATCACAAGCAGGCGGGCCTCTGGATTAAACCACCGAAGCGTTGATTGGCTACAAGGTTCTCCCTCTCCTGATTACAGAACAAGCCTACCCAAAGCAGGCCGTTGCCAGGGTAACGGCAGGCCCTGCTCCTCACGCGAAACCTGGGAAAGGACTGAGCCGGCCTTGGGACCCGAGAGTTTGTGGAGACCCGTGTCGGGGAATTAAGCGGGCGGTCTCCTTCGCGGGGGACTATTAACTGGGCGTCACTTGAGAACGGGAAGGAGTTCTTTGTCATTTTATGCAGGACTGAGGAGACGAGAGAATTGAGGCGTCCCACCTTCCTTGCAACTGGAGAAAATGAGAAGCAGGTAAGAAGAGAGCCACTCCTACCCACCGTCGGTGTCCCCAACCAGAGAAAGATCTGTAACATTATTGTTGTACGTCGCTCAGAGACCACTGGTAACGGCGCGGCTAAAAAAATCTTGTAAATAAATAAATTCTGTACTAGGATGGTAACAAAATCAAGACGGAATATGGATATGAATAGGAACCGTGGAGGTCCCCTGTGACACTGGTTAATTACAGCCTATGCGTAGATGCCACCTTGCTCCTATCCCAGGTGATAAAGAAATGCACTCTGCGTATACTCAGAGGGTTCTTCTACTTGGTCTGTTTTTAGGACTGAGTCCTGGTATGGTTTAGGATCACTGTGCAACTGTGTAATCTCTGTGATCTTGGCGGTTGTACTGGCGCTGTTAATTAGTTAGCAATGATTTTCCTTAACTGAAGCTGAAATCCAAAGCAAATTTACTGGGGAAGAAAGCCATTTAACACCAGAAGATTTGCCTGTGAGTGCGCAAGATTGCACAGCTTAATTGCCTTCACCTACACGCTTATGGAAAAGCATGTTTATACTTCATTGTATGTAAATACAGTTAGGATCAAGCTGCATATATCTAACAACATACAACAGAAAGCACGTTTTCCACTATTTGTAACATTTCATTGGAATATGTCAAATTATTGAATGTGCACACATTAAAAACTATTAAGCCTACCAAAATTAGATTGTTCATGAATAGTTTGTTTTATATATGACACAATTTTTCAAAATTTTGCATTTGTTTCTGCACACTAAATTTTGAATGAAAAAGTAATCTGTGATTGATTTTAACAGATTTATAGCCAGATTTTCTGCTGATGTCATTGGAACTTATTTGCTATGAGTATGCATAGGATATTAGTCATAGACGTACTTCTGTGAACATTACAGGACTAAGTCATGGATGCTGAAGTGAACAAACCACACTACAAAAGCAGAAAAATGCACCCTGCCATAGGTCAGTAGGAGCAACCAACCCCCGTCAGAGAGTTTTTTATGAACACCATTTCTGCCTTTCAGTACAAAAACACTTTTGTGCCCTTTTTGCTTTTTTCTGCTCCCCTTTTCTACTTACATTTATTGGCAGAACTTAGAAATTTATGCACTTAAAAAACTTCTGATTACGCAGCGAATAAAATTTCAGGGACCTTCAAAGCAGAATTAGTTTCAAATTTCCCTTCAGTAGACCACTCCTTATTGCTTTTTTTTTTTACTTCAACTGGCACTTACTGCCTCAACAGTTCATTTAGAGGCACTGGTAAGAGAAAAAAGCACTGCAGATGGCAAGAACCAATGTAAATTTATTGGTATAAATCAACAGCATTTGTATATTTATAAAAGCTTTCATTATCAAATCCTAAATATCTGGATATCCAAAAATCCAGATATCCAAAATATCTGGACATAAATCTTTGCTTGCTGTTGAACTCTAACTAGGGAGTCTAACTAGGGAGTCAGCCAGGCAACTATTTCTTGCAAGTCCTTTTCAAAAAACTGGGTGTCAAAGTAAAGATATTCAGTTCTCACATTCACATTGATGCAATCAATGAATACATAGCAAAGCCTCCCCAGCAGACGTTAGTACAGGAGAGAACTGTTCTTTAAAGTTTGTGAGATCCAGTTCATTTTGCACCTCAAATGAGATCTACTGTAATGTAGTGAATAGGATGCAAGACAGAAATCTGGGACTTGAGGTTCTAGTTCCCACTAAGTCACAAATTAATGAGTAATGTTGGGCCAGTTGCTCACTCTGAACCTGACAAGTGGGCAATGAAGATAAAGCTGAGAGGAGAAAGAAGGGAACTCATTATGCTACCTTGAGCTCACTGGAGAAAAGCAGGGATATACCAGTAAGTGCAAGTAATAAATAATAGTAAATGCATTTTGAATTGAACTTGGAAATCTGTCAGCAGTCAATGTGGATGACCTAAATTTGATGTTACATGCTCTGTATGTCTTTTCTGGATCTTCTGCTCCCATTACCCAATAAATGATCAGGAGCAAAATAGTTGAGTGAATGTGAAATAACATAATCTTTGTGGTCTGTGTTCAGTTGTGTTCTTTTGATGTTTATTGATGCAGTGTATGTCCATATTTTAAGAATTCTCTTGTCTTTCAGCATTTTTTCTTTTACTTGTTTGGGAAACTTTAAAAGACATTTCAAAAAGTTAACAGTAACTAAATCAATATACTGCAAGCAGATTCACTGTTGAAGAAGAATGCCATGAATGACATAAACAAATAGAAAGAGAAGAGCAAAATGTCAGAAAACAACCAGTAAAGATAGACACAATACATACCACTTGTAGTTCGAAATCTAACTTCTACAAAGACCAAATATATTTGTTGTAAATACTAGTCATTATGGTGATGATATTGCTTAGGGGAATTTGGGTAAACATATTAATGAGGCATATGTTTTTGCCTTATTAATGTATTATTAATGCTTTTTAAGTCCAAAGAATTTTGTTTCAAAATAGTAAATTTTGAAATATATGTAAGCTTGAATTTTAAGCTAAAAGTTAACTTCAGGAAATTCATAAAAGGTTTCTTTGCCTTTTTTTCCTGCAGTAGCCTCCCCTGCCCCTGAAAGTCACCTCTGTAGTGTCAGAAGAAAAACATTTTACTTGCATAGCCATTCATATATTCGATTTGTAATTGTGTTTGCAATGTTTTACTATATTTAATTTTTGGTACATCAACCAGAAATCTTTTCTGGAATGAAGGCATAATCTAGAATATTTTAAAAATAAGATAAAATTAAAAAAATGTTGAAATAAGGTGATGGGTTTTAAAATACAGACTTTAATTCTCTGTGTTAAAAGTTTCTAAGAAGATGACGTGTATTTCTTATCAGAAGAATGTGGTTTTTTTTAAAAAAAAAATCCAGTTCATAACAGTCTCAGTCTACAGGAGAATTGTATCTTAAATGAATTTATCATCCGGTTTCGTGTTGGCTATCTTGGAGTAAAATTTTACCAACATACAAACTATAAACATCTGGGTTCTGTCTAAACTCATTTCCTTGATGGAGTTTCCCCACTCCCATTGCAGCTAACAGCACAGTGCTGTGCATGTTTATTTGCAGTAGGTTTTATTATTTCCACCAGAGCTTTATGCATAGATTATTCTGGCCTAAAACTGGGGCAGGGTGGAGAGATTACCATTATTTGCTCTTTCCACACCATTTCTCTGCATCTCATGTTTTCACCTCTTCCACTGTAGCAGGTCTCTGGGATCTTTCATGTGGCAAAGGATGAAGCCTTGGAGGGGCATCTATCTTTCCAGGGCATAGATGTAATGGTGCATGCTTTCCCCTACTCTCTCCCAGAAGATCAGAACCTGCAGTAGGAGGGCTGGCTGTGTTTATATATCTTTGCCTCAAGGAAATCAAAGACCATCATAAGAGATTTGCCTGGCTGTTTAGAGTACATTGGTGCACTTCCCAGGCAACCAGATGAATGGCATCTTGCAGTCCTCCTTTGTGATATGAAAATAGGCAAATTGAGAATTCAGACTGTTAAACTGACATGTTCATGAGTTGCGAGTTTGCCCCAACATTAAATTATTGTCTAGTGAGTTAAATGATTTCTTTAAACACCAATATCCATAATGTAAACTCCTCTTCTCTTCATCTTTATCAGTTTTTTATTTTTGTTAGAGGTCGAACATAATAGGACAGAGTTGTAAAGCAATATAATATACTGTATAAATGTAGGCAAGAATGGTTTTTACCATCAGGAATTGATTGATGTGATTGTAGTTTCTTGGTGACATCATAGTAAATTTCAGCTGTCTAAAAGGGCTCACACACCCCAGATGAGGTTATCTACAGGGCACTTTCACAAAATTGCACTTAAAATAGCATTCTCGGTTCCCTAAGGAGTTTCAAAACCAAACACTGCATACAATTTCTCATTCTTTTCCATTTAGATAGTTGTTATTGTCTTGGAGTGTGGAATTGAATAATTATGCAACTGTCGAATGTAGGAAAAATCCATGGATTAATTTGAGAAGTATGTACCAGGGAAGGGGAAAGAGATTACAAAATTGTATTTCACAGCTGAAGTGTAGAGAGGTGAAGACTGATTCCTAGTAATAAAGCATATGGTAAAAGAGATACAGTATCTATGTTTCTCAGTCAGAATATACATGCTATAATATTCAGTGAGCAAATTGCTAGTTTAAAAGTATTTCCAGTTTCTTACTTGTCTTTATATGGCTGGTACAAGGGAATACAAAGGGAATATTTGGATAGATATCTGTGTTGATTCAATTATAAATTATTATATGTACTGCTGTTTTTAAGAACTGGACCCTAGAGAAAGATATGCTTCTTTAAAAAGTGAAAGAAAGCTGGCCCCAGTGCTCTAAACATACAACATCTGCCTTCACACTTCTAATTCCTTTTATGTTCAGTAAATAGGAACTTGTAAAGGTTAAGTGTAATACTGCTAAAGACCTCCCTTCAGTTGTTCAGACTAAGTTAGTTCTTATAAATGCATGTCTACATGGAACTATAATGGATGACAGTCTGAACACTTGAACTAAGTGTTTTAGTGATCTAAAACTGAATGAGATGGAGCTTTGGCTAGACTTGGGCCAGGAGCCAGCAGGATGGACCCTATTGTGTCAATTCTATTCCAGTGTAATTAGTTTAGGATTTTAAACTTCTGTATGGGGTGAAAAATAACATATCTCAAGAACTGGCTCATCCTTCATAAGCCAGTCTGAACTGTGCAGTTTTCAGAAGCCTCTCTTGTTGCACTTTGACTGATAGAGACAAGAGATAGAGCCCTTTCAGTTATGGCACCTGTACTGTAGGAATTCCAGGAATTTCTGTAGGTGTATTCCAGGAAAATCCACCAGGTCTCCTTTTTCTTAGTCACAATCACCAATTGATTCTGTTGGGCATTTTTAAATTAGAAATTTGATTGTTTTTGGTCTTTTGTTACTAACATGCTTTTATGATTTGTTTTGATTTTTACTCTGAATTTCTTAAGTTCATCATAGAAGAACAGGTTGTAAATATATAAATAAATAAAACAAACTTGATCAGGGCCCTGTTGAGTCTTCAAGACCCCTTGTAGACTCCAGGTCTTCAAGATCTTCCACCCCCACTAGAAAACAAGTCCAGCAAAAAATGATCTGTGTATTCTCCAGGAAGGTTGATTTTATTGGACTAGATGCTTTTGGAAAGGTAAAGGTAAAGGTTCCCCTTGACAATCTTTTTTGTCCAGTCGTGTTCGACTCTAGGGGGCGGTGCTCATCCCCGTTTCCAGGCCATAGAGCCAGCGTTTGTCCAAAGACAATCTTTCCGTGGTCACATGGCCAGTGCGACTTAGACATGGAATGCTGTTACTTTCCCACCAACATGGTCCCTATTTATCTACTCACATTTGCATGCTTTCGAACCACTAGGTTGGCGGGAGCTGGGACAAGCGACAGGTGCTCACTCCGTCACGTGGATTCGATCTTACAACTGCTGGTCTTCTGACTCTGCAGCACAGGCTTCTGCGGTTTAGCCCGCAGCGCCACCACGTCCTTTTGGAAAAGATACTACAATTTTCTGTATTTTCTGCTTCAGAACTAAATCTAGAAGCAGAGTTGGATTGTTGAAATTAAAAATGTTGTTACAGCATTTGTAAGAAAGATAAAATATAGCTTTGATTATTGAACATATTTAAACATGATTTTTGTCAGCAATGTTCTCTGTCACTTTCCATTTCAGGACTTCTACTAAAAATTGTTCTTTTGACAGGTTATACTGTTCTGTTCTTACTGTCAGGAAACTTGCATCATGTAAATGCCTGTAATGAATATAGTTGTCCTGAAAAGGGAAAATTAAACATTTGTTGGAAGGGTTTGTGGTATAACCCTCTGCAGATGTGTTCAGTGTTAACTGGAATCTAACTTGAGGCATCTTTTAATGGTTCATTGCTAATTTCATTATGGAGTGTTAAGTTTCAACAGTAGCTGAGAATAAGCTGAGTTTAACAAGAGACATTAAAAGTAACAACAACAAAAATTAGCTACATGTATAGCAGAAGACAGAGGGGGAAAATAGTTTCTCAGCTACTAATTGAGAAAGAGTAAAATGATAAAGAAAAGGCTGAAGTGTTTAATTCATACTTAGCTGAGTTTTCTTCCAAAAGAGAATCTATGGGTGTGGCTACATTGGACAACTGAATTATCAAACAATATTTGTATAGGTTTTAATGGCAGATTTCAGTACCACTCTATTTTTTAAAACTTTTTATTTTAGACTAGGGATAGGATAAAGGTACAAGGGGTAAAAGGATATGAAAAGGGGGTGAAGGAGAACATAAAGTATACTGTCACATATATCTTGTTATTCGTGTTACAATGTCTTGTCAATTTTCAGCTTTTCTATACAGTAGTTTGATTGCCCTTCTAGATTTCTACATACTGTACAGTTACTTCTTAGTTTAGTTCTGTGTTTATCCAGTTCTATCTACTGACTCAAACCATTACGAACGGCCCTAGTTACGAACATTTCAAGTTACGAACCCAATCTCATAGAAAACAGCAGGCCCTACTTATGAACATTGCCCAAGTTACGAACCCGATCCATAGAAACAATGGGCCCTACTTACGGACCTGTGATTTGAGTTACAAACTAAAACAAAAAACTAGTGAGGGAGGCTGGGAAAGAGCGAAATTTGAACTTTCAGTTAATCGTTGGCCAGCGAAGAGGGTGCTTGTCTGCTTCCTCGCTCTTCCCAG